GGTGCATGTAATGCCAAAAGCTGGAAGGATTGTCTGCCCGGCGGCAGTTGTCGGCCAACTTGCGGATCCTGACTCAGACGTTCTGTGGCACACGCAACCATGTAGATGAAAGCTTTGGAAGGACGTTCCAGGCAACCACACAGGAAGCAATGTACAGCAGCTAGTATTGCGGGAGCAGCACCTTCGGAGCAAATTTTACATGTTGTTGACACAGACGGAGGTCCTGTCAAGGACCAAGTCCACGATCTCTTTGCCGATCGTGTAGTGTCCACGAGCAAAGTTGTTGGCCTGGGAAACCGCTAATTAGTCCACAACTCCAGGAATGCAACTAGCTGTCAAACATGTTGCAGCAGGATCAGTTCCGTCAAGTGACAGCATCCTCTTTGCCCGAAATCAGCTGCTCCGGATGGAAAAGCTGCCGGTAGGTACCGGTGCGAACTTCATCCACAACAGTTGGCTCGAGATCCTCAGTTTGTAACATATCGCCCCAGCAACTGGCACATTTTGGGACGGACGTCGCACCCGCCATGGCTGGCCACAGAGTCCCTGACATCACAGCGCTGGAAGGACGTCTTTACCATTCCTACTGCTCTTCCTAGTCGCTACTAGTTGCTAGTCTCTCTCCTCCTCTTCGTGGTCCTTAGTCTGAGTCATCATGACTAACTCACTCTGATCATGATCAACATCATCATCACCATCACCTGGCTCGGCTTACCATTCCAACTGCAGCAAATCGGCATTTGGACTCAAACCCTGGCATTCGTATGTCTCGGCTTTTCATGGAGAACAGCACCCTGCCGGCGTCTTTCGCTACCCACCTCTCTTGCTGGAATTTTGGCCGCGTTTTGCAGAGCCTTCTGGGTGTCCCTCCAGCATTCTCCAACAGTAACAAGCCAGCAGCTGTGAAGGTGCAAAGTCGACTGACATCTCACATGTGATCAGCAGCGCTGGAGATCAAGTAAGCCCGAGTCCACCATGACGCAGCGAGGAACGTGCTTTCCAGCGCCCGTTTCGGAGAAGAAAGTGTTAAATGCATCCTCACGGGGTGGCTGCATTCAGCATGCTTCTGCTGATGCTTGCCTACCATGGTGATCCCTGAAGAGCAAAGCCTTTTGCCCTTAACAAAACTTGTCAGCACAAGCAAGGGGCATCTCCACCGCCGATGGTCTTGTCCTTAGCTTGTTGCTCTAATGTCCAACTTCATTTCATCATCCTCGCACGTTGCACTACAA